CGCTCCAGTGCGGGACGCGCAGAGCTGCATAGGTGCACAGCGAAAGAAAGCCAAAGACCCCAAACACCAAGAGAAGCACTCCAGCGATCAACATTACAGTGTGTTCCGACTCACCACAGATCACATTGGGGTACTTTAGGATGCTCTGCTGCCCATTGGGATGCGTGTAGCACATCAATGGTGCAAGAGCGATCGTTCACATAGTCGAGAAACCCACCTGCATGTGCAGGAGCGAGTTTCGCAGGCGACGACCTTGATCTGTCCCCATCGGCTGAGGTCTCATGCTTGATATGTTCCCATCTCAAAATTTTGACCTCGCACAAACCAATGGGTTTTGATCTATGCTCCTTCTTCCAAAATATGTTCTACACCCACATGGTCGGAGATGAGAAGAGTCGAGTCGTCGACTTGGGTCTCGGCCCTGCCTGGAGTACCTGCCCCGCGCAACTGGAGACCTTTGTCCAGTCCCAGTTCCATTTGGGCGGCAGGACCTGCGACGCATGAACAGCAGAATAGTGGGTTCAAAAACGGGGATTTGATTGTGCACCTGCACCATTCTGTGGCTTCCTTGCAGGCCAGTAGACCTGTGAATCTGGGTATTTGCAGGGCCTTGTATTGACATCAACTAGCCTTGCTGACCAAGAAGTTCAGGAAGAGCCAGGCAACGGCTGCAGGGAAGAAGCACACACTGACCTGAAGCACTCAAAGCCTATTTCGAGCGGTACCCGCTGCGACCCCAAAAAAGAAGACTGGTGGCAGACCTCCGGATACCTCAACCCTCCAAAGACGGAAGGAGCGAATTGGGTGTGCCATGCGATTCTTTGCCAGGTGGCAGTGTAGCGGAAGCTGGTCTCAGCACCAGCGAAGCATGCGAAGCCAAAGCTGTCGAGGTCCAGCAAAAGGACCTGTGGTGAGAGATGGATGAGAACATAGAAAGTGTTGATTGCTACCCATGCATTTCGGTCTTCAGCCAAAAGTGTTCTGAAAAATCGACCAAGCCCTTCACCTGAAAGTAGGAGAAGAAGCCTTTCAGGTCCACAGGCCACTCAACAGTCATCATGCCAATGATGCCCACACTCTGAAGGAGGGACACCAGCATTCCGAAGGCACAGGTCGTGGTGAAAAGCACAGAAGCCTCAGCTGCTCTGCGAGCCGCGTATGAAACATGTTTCCATGTAAAGCATTTCAATGGCTGAATGATGTTCAGCTGTTGGCAAAGCCCGGCATTTTGTTTACTGAGCACACTCAATGCTGAACCAACCCTGGCCTTCGCTGTAACCTTGGAAGTCATTAAGTAGTAGGACACTGTCAGGAAGATGAAGATGCCGACAATGCTCACGGCCTCAAGCAATTCATCACCTTTCCTCAACCAAAAGTCCTTGTGCTACTACTGAGTATGATTTGTCCAAAGGCCCGACAAAACAGTGGAAACGGCACTCTTCAGCTGAGCCCTCGACCCAAAGCACTTGCCTCCATACCTCACAGCCCATGCACTGATTCTCCGACCATGTCTCACCTGCAAGCAACGGCTCACAATCAGCTTGTCAGTTTGTCGAATGAGTCCAAGTGAAATATGGAAGATGTTTCTGCTTTCCTGTGCCTGTTCCAGGACCACCTCATGCCCTACGTAAACGATCTCAGGACTTCCGGTCTGGTGCATGTATACCATATCATGTGTAGTAACCTGCCAGTTCATCCAGGCTTTGCACCTGAACTCGTTCAATTGCATCAGCGTCTACAGCAAAACATGTGGAGTTCTCAGAAGTGCAATCTCATCAAAGCCGTTTGTGACATCTGGGGGGACAAGTGTCACGTACCTGCCTTAAGTTGCTATGGGGTGGCAACCACCCGGTTCCAAGAATCCCTGCCAACTGCGGCGTCGCCGTTCACGAGTGTGTGGTGTAGTGGTGGTGCCCTGCCACAGCTGGTAAACCTGAGGCCTTTCCTGTGTGCTTCCACGCGTGTCATGGACAGGGACACCGAAGTGGATCAGTGTGAGAGACTTGAACAAAAAGGCCTATGCCATTGCCAATAGTTCTTTCAAAAACGACTAGAAAGTAGTTTTACACGCAGTCGCTCCGGTGAAGGTTGCGAGTAGGGCGAAGTGTGCCTAGTGCAGAAGTGGTCTCACAGGTTGGTTCAACAACTACGCGCAGCGCGCTGACATGACAAACGAGGCTATGGGTAGTTTGGTTGTTCCTCACCATTTGGTTTCATCTTGCAGCCACGCACGATCTGTTTCGTCTGCACCTCATGTTTGCATGTGTTTCGCAGACAATGTCTGGACCGTAGGTTCCAATTCTTCGCTGTCAAGAATCGGTCCCCCCCAACGCGGTTGCCAGGAGATTCTGGACTACTTCAACTCCAGAAAACTCCACCACACTCCTGTCATATCCTTTTCTTTGGGTGGGCCAGGGCCTGACGAACACCCGACATCCGTCGGTCGGTCGTTGACTGGCCTAAAACGGACCCACAAAAGAGAAAAAAAACTGGTGTGTTCTTGGAACCACTAAACTTGAACTGGTGACTATGGTAGCACACTATTTCGCTGATGACTTGATGCTCCCCTCCCTTTAGATAAAGCTGTCCAGCGCAAAGATCCTTTTTGGGAGCCTCTGATGGCAAAGCGGTAGTTTGCAGGAGACCCAAGTTCAAACGACACCTGCACATCTATCCAGGCTCAAAGGAAAACGACCGTGCTCTCCAACGTGCACAGCGCGTGACACAACCAAACAAGGTCAGGTGCCCCGGTTTTGTCCTTTTTGTGCGGTATGGTGTTGTCATTTCTGTCCCTGTCACCTGCTTTTCCCTTTCATCTGCAACCACACACTGTTCCTGTGGTATTTTCAATGTCTTTCCTATCTTCAGGTCTTGTCACCACCTTCCCGGCTAGGGCCTATTGCGCACACACCTGCTTGGGCCTTGGGGCGCGCACGTCACGTCACCCAAACTAGGCTGATCGCCGTTCAGCGTAGAGGAACTATTCAGCGCCGTGTGAGAATCAGCCGTGTGGGACTTCGAGGACCAGCACTGACCTAGTTGTGTACTGAGGCGACCTTTTTAGGCTCGCTTGCCATCTATGGCTTCGAGCGATGAATGCAAATGCTTCATATTTCTACGTCAGAGGACATGGGGGGCACTGAAAAGTCCCATGTTAACAAAAATGTTTGTCAAAGGCATGTGGCATCTGGGAAAAAAACATTTCCCAAACTTATCTGCTTTAAGTTGTTGTGACGTAACCGCGTACCTCTCCAAGCCTCACCTGATACCCAGCCTAAGGCCTTCCTTAAGTCTGCAGTACACTGCCTTCACTCCCCACCTTGTGGGCACTCAGCACATGGCACTCCGTCACGACCGCCGGCGCATGTCTCCGGCAAACCGCCAGGACAATGGAAAATCTTTCCACACTTGTAGACCTCAGTCCAAGGGCCGGAAACATGCAAACAAGGGATGCAGCTGAATGCCATGAAACATGTCATTGATCAATCAACAGCAAATAAACAGAATAAACAGCCGTACACCCACACGTGTTTCTCCTTGATTCTATTTGTTGCGCTTCTAGTTGGAGCAAGGAAGTGTTCCAATGGTCCAATTCCTCTTCTTATCTTCTTAGTGGTATGCTGCTTTTGACTTCCACAGCGGTTTGTCCGGCCATGCTGTCAGTTTCAATTGTTGCCATATCTCTTGCCTCTCACGTACACGTTCGTTTCACCTTTGGAATGCTGTTGGAATGCTGCAGTTATCACGTGCTCGTTGGTTTAGCGTGTTCATCGAACAATCGGCCTGGCGAGGGAAAAAAAGGAATAAAAAATTTCTCTACAGTGGTTTCAGAGTAGGTGGCACAATCCCCAAAAGGTGGCTTATATGGACCCCTATATAAAAGACCTCTTGAGGTCTGTGCCATCTACTCTGAAACGACTGTAAAGCAATACATGATACAGGCAGAAACTTGAATCAAAGTGAAGGTGAAACGTGGAATTGATACCAAGCGCAAATTAGCAGATTAGCGAGAGACGCTGCTAAGCAACTATCAAAGAAGTGTGGTACCTGAAATCATCGGTGTGGGCTACTTGCTCCCAGCCTGGTGTTCTGCAAAACTGACCAATGATCCTACATGAAAAACACTTTAACATCCTCGTTCTGGTTCTTTCGGGGAGAAAACAACTTGAGGAACACTGGAACACTTTGCCAAGACACTGTACATAACACTGTACATACCATTTTGGTACATCCGATCCAAAACTCCCTGCCTCCAAAGGCTGCAGTGCTGTGGTGTAGTAGCCAGCTTCCACCGACGCAACGTACTTCTCGCCCAGAGGATGCGTTCCAGTCTTGTAGCCTGGGTTTGGCACGAGGTTCTGAGTGGTGAACAAGGTCCACTGTGTCCCAGGATTTTTGCCGCCAAAAAACTGGAAGCTATGATTCGTCATGCAATTAGAAGTCGTCAGGAACAGCCTTCGCGTATCTTCTCGTCCCATATCCACTCACCCCACGATACGCCAAGGGACTCTCCAAGAAAGACATTGCAGGGCAAGACAAGCCGGTACTGCATTCCACGCAATTTAACATGCCTTCGGCCATCAGGCTGAACGACAGGAATGCAACTACAGTGTCGAATGCTTCTCTCTGACTCTGCAGAGACTTGAAGAAGGCAGGAGTCCCTTCCACCCTTCAGGCCACTCGTCCCTTTCCATCATAGTCTGCAGAAAAATGCAGCTGGTCTTCAACCACTCAAAGAAATGAACAATCCCCAAAAACCACTCACCTGCACTAAAAAAATGCGACTGTCCCACCCAACCGACTTTCAGTGTTTGCCAAAGCTTGTTCCTTTACCAATTCCATTTGGTGAAACTTGGCATTTATGGAAGTTTTAAGTGATGCTCCATAGCTGTGGGAAGCTGTGCCACCGTTGCAAAAACCAAGCAGGAAGGCACTCGTTTGTTCATCAGAATGATGTTGGCCACCGTTGACGTTCATCAAAGCATACGGCAAACGCTGGCTTAGCGCAAGCTGGCTGGTACACTCCCGCCCCAGACTTTCAATCTCGAACTCCAGTGCCACACCGCAAAACAAACACCCCGGATAGCATGTTGCTCACACATGCAACAAACAAGTATATAAGTAAGGCAAACAAGCTGAGACGACAGGACGGCAGCTGAGACGACGCCAGAAAACCCAACAACACCTTGAGCTCGGCCAAGCTCCCCTGCCCTGCCCTGATCTCCCCTGCCTTCGGTGGTGGAGACATCAATACGGCCCTCCACACATCCACAATCTGTGAAGATGGAAGATCCCAGGCCCAAAGTGCCACTCCCACTGGGGCACCTCACCGTCGTGATTGTAAAAACAAGATCTTCCAGAGGGAGACAAAAGATCTTCAACAAAGTCGATGAAACATCCCCTGCCCTACAAACAATCTGCTCTAAAACTATTCTTTCACTCCTCTTGACAGGACAAACCACACATACACTGCCATCTTCAAGCAAGGTACACAGTGCATTGAGCCGCACCCTCTTGATCATTATAGTTGTTGAGGGGGCATCGTTTGCAGCTTTGACTCCCCAGCTCGTCTTGGTACGAGCCCTTGTCACAAGGGTCACACGTCAACGAGGCTCCAGACGCTTGGCTGGTGCCCACAGGACACTGCTCGCAAATGTAAGTCACGCCCATGGTGTCCACAAGTTGTTTGGAATAGGTGCCACTGGGGCATGCCTGGCACCTGCATCGTGTTGCACCCTTTCAGCGAGACGCTGAAGAAACACTTCGAAAACAGTATTTAAAGAAAAAAATACTGTAATCCTCCCTGGCTTCAAAAGGAAAGCGTGCACGGCACCCGCTACATCACCGTCTTTGGCACCTTCCCGGGTCATGTCCACAGGGTGTTCAAAAGACGTTTCTTTTGTTCTCCCCATCGAACCAACCCTGTGACCCTGAATGACCCTCTGACATTTTGCTGATCGGCACCTCTTGCCCTCTTTGATGGCCCGATCCATCACGAACTCGCCACTCTCAATGTCAACCAGCCCAAAGCCTGCGAAACAAGTGGTGTCATCTGGCAGCCACGAGCTCCAAGTGGCTTCATTGTTCTGAAGCCACTTGCAAGTCACATTCTCCCAAGAATCTCCGGTCGTCTTCTGTTCGAGGAGAATGTTGTTGAGAGTAGTCATGTCAATCTCCATGTTCACCAAGAAATTCTCTACTCTGGGTGCCAGGGTGAACAGGTCCTTGCTCGTTCCTTTGGCAATTTCCAAATCTGACGGATTTGTTCGGAAATCTCCAGCAGCATAAGCATTCCGGTCATACGCAGGGAAAATGATCTCGATTGGAGCCAAATCCAAGAAAGTGGGATCCGGAACCCACCAATAGAAAGTCGATTTCACTGCCAATGGCAACGCTGAGAAGGAACTCCAATCTTTGGCCACCGCAATAGCAGTGGGCATATTCCAAGCAATGGCTTGCTGCATGATGATATCCACACCCCAACCATTGCCGCCGGTGAAGTACACGATGCACCTAGAACTGTTACTGCGACAAGCGGGCGAGCGCCAAGTGTACTCATCAGGACACACGCCAATGGCCTGGAAAAACAAAGTGTCCCAACTTAGCACCCAAACACTGAAGTTGTGTAAGTGGGCACCCAAAAGAATTCTACGTGCACTGTGCACCAAAAACACCTGCCACCATGCCTTTGCTACCTTACTTCCGCTGCTTAAATCTTGTCCTTACAGACTGGACGTTCCAACAGACTGATGAAACCAAACAAAGCCTATCATATATATAGTCACAACTGAGGAATCTCATTTTTGGCGCCCTGTGTCCTTGCCATTGACAATCTGGATTCCTCCTGTGTCGCCCGTCCATGCCAAAGTGGCCCGCATTTGGACATCCGAATAGAGCTGTGTCTCATTGCAGCGCTTGAGGAGGGATGTGTCAACTGCCGAGAGCTGGTCAAAGTAGTTCCAGGGTTTCCACCAGTCAACATCGTAGGAGGAGTAGAACTCCAAAGGCAAACCCTGCATCTGAGCTGCTTCTGCTTGCCTCACTGCAACCAAAAAGCATTGACAATACCTTGTAGATGGACCGGACCGAATACCGGACTAGATTGTAATTTGTACCTATATACATACAATGACTGGTCACTCGTATAAAAGCAAACCTCAACCAAGCACAACTGATCACAAACCACCCACATGGACACAACCCACGGTATCACCCCCCTGTCATAACTTTTTTTGTGCAAATGGAGTTCGTTTTCACTCCAAGCCTCCAAGGGTTGCCCCACGTCACGAAAGCATTCACAACCATTACATACGCATTTCACTGGCAAATTGCTGTATGCGTGCATTTGCCTTTAGCTGCTTCTCTGCACCGGATGGTCTGACACCAAATTTCAATACCTATTTTTTGTTGATTCTAGCTATCTGCCCCACTGTAACTGCAAAGTAGCACGAACGCAACGCGGCCCTCTAGTTTCCTTTCAAAGTTGAGCCTGTATGGCAGTATGTCATGTGCTGGATACATGTTCACACCCTGCCTTTCTTCGGGCGGAACCAAAAGCTTTCCCACAAAGAGCCACGGTCACTTCAGGCTCCGGCTCATCGGAGCTTCCACGTGGAATTCGCCGCTTTTGAGTCACTTCAATTCTCTGGCGTTAGAACACCCTGAGCACGAGGACTTACCAGGATAGGAAAAAGATTCAGCGGATCATGGTGAGAACTCTTCCGGCTCCTTCGGTTGGGTTCTGCACACTTGGAACTGCATATCCGTTCTTCCTCCTTCATTTCATCTCCATCGACCTCCATTGATTGCTTCAGGTGCCCTTGACCCTCCAGGAGGGCTCATCAGCTTCACTAGATTGCGGGCTCTTGGTCGTAGAGGCATCCACACGCGTTGTCCTCTTGGGGCAAGGAACCCCTAATTACAGCAAACTTGACCAGCGCAACCTGCACTTTCTTGCCATAGCTGTCCAAACCTCAAACCTCTGGGCTCAATCCTCATCGCCTCCTCTGAACATGACCCAAGTCCTCATCCATCTCTGTCTTCGAAGCTTCTTGGCAATGTCCAGCGCCTTCTGATTTGCTTCGCTAAAGCGATCACTAAAGCCTCGAAGGACAGCGGGCGGCTGCCGGATAACTCTTTGTAGCCGTCAGGGTCGGCATCCGGGCCCTCTTCCTTGAAGGCCATCGTGGGCCATGGAGATGCGGCGGACAATGACAAGTTGTCCTGAGGGGTCGCAGTCGCCGGTGAACTGGTATAGGTGGCAAAGTCCTGCAAGCGGTCCTTGAGGCCATAGGTCTCGACCCGGAGCGAATTGGGGTTGTTTTGGCATAGCCTCCGGCGTAGTAGTCGACAATGCGGATGAAGATGACCATGTAGTAGTCCCGCGTCGCAATGGATGGACACTGAATGCTCTTTTTCAAATGACTGGTCTGTAAACAAGATGGTCGCCACCGGAAACCAGCACAACATAATCATATGACATGGCATCCCAGCCTTGGTGCGAAGAAGCGTAGGCTTCCAGGATCCTACGCACCAAGGCTGCATGGAGGATATACCTGCGACGGTCTTGAACGATTCACTGGACGATGTGGATCCTTTCCAATCACTACACGTTGGTGAGTGCGTTGTCCTTGCCGTCTCACATTCAGGGCCTGGGCAATCGAGAGGTTGTTGGTGAGAAACCCTGATCATTTCTGCATGCATTCGTGATCCGTAGTCTTGAGTCCGAAACAACACTCATCCCCTCGCGCCAGGAAGGATGATAGAGACAAGGTTCCTTCCAACTCGTTGCGCTCCATGGATGTTCCAAAACAAACGACAGCTTCAACTGAATACGCAAAAGGCAAATAGCGACGCAAAAAGATAACAACTTCCGAGCTTGCTTGATGCATTTCTGAAAAGCGAGTTCCGCTCTAAAACGAGTGGAGAACCGAAGTTTGTTCAAAATGCTAAACGTTGTGCGTGGAGGCGCCAAACAAATGAGACCCGGCCGCTCTGACGGTATGCGATGCAACACCGACTGCTGATGCGCTGGCTTCAACAAGTCCCAACCCAACTCAATGTCAAACACGTCCCCCAACCGTAGCTTGTGAGCGCTTGCAAAAAGTCGAAAGCGGCCGGGATTATAAACTTCTGCCACGGTCCTCAACTGTTTTCGATCCAAGTTGTATAATTAGTACTTCACATCGTTTCACGCCAGCCTTCTGCTGCTGGACGGTTTGCGCTACCCGTCGCTGAGCTTCCACAAGATATGTGTCCAAACACTCAACATCCTTTGTAAGTTCTGCTTGACGATCAGTCCAAAGAAGCTCAGCCCGCTTTGCACTACCCGGTCACTACCCCAAAGGCGGCATCTCAGGCCGGGTTTCAGAAGAGGTGGTCCCCTCCACATGCGCGGCTGAGCTTGATTCTTGGCCCTCGTCCCCAAGATCCACCGGTGGCGCCGCCGGACTGGGAGTCGAGGCAACCAGCCCGGGCGGAGCTCTCGATGAAGTTGCCGTCGATCTCTGTCGGAGATGAGCTCCCGGCATCTTCCGCTTGCGCGCAAGCACCTTGTTGCAGGGTGAAGTGGTTCGATCCGGCTTTCGTCTCCATGGAGGTCTCCACGAAGTTCATTGCCTTGGTCGATGACCCAGTGCCCGTCGCTGGTGATTTGTGGAGAGATGGACTTCCTTGCAGCGATTGCATCCGGTTCTTCTTGAAACATTAGCGCCCAGGGCCAAAAAATCTTGTCCATCATGGGCCTTTTGGGCCCTGACGAAGGTTCGTTTCTGCTGCTGCTTCTCCTTGGCCATCATTGATTGCGGTGAGCAAGACATCCATGGCCTCACCCTCGTCATCCTCGTCCGGGAGCTCATCGAAAGTTTTTCTTTAGGATCTTCTTGGGCCAGTGAAGTAGGTCCCATAATAGGTCTTCGTCTTGGCTGCATCTCCCAAGATGCCCATGTCCAACTCGGTCTCATGGACGCAAAGCCACTCCTTGATGTCGTGGACCTTCAGGGACCCCTTGGTGTAGTTCATCGTCAGTTTAATCTTCTCGCCATGAGGAAGCCCAAGAACTCGACCCCACGGGCCCGAACCTTGCGTTTGGCATTGTCCCACCTGATCATGAATGCTCGAGCGGTCTTGCCCTTCTGGCAGGTCCGGCGGGCACACAAAACGAGCGCGCCCTCGCGAAGCTCCTCCCCATAGTACTCCTTCGAGTTCATGAGCTCAAACAACTTTTTTCCCATTCTTGGGATCTTCCAGCCAACTATCTTGGGGTGCCAAGAACTTCAAGTCTTCCCCAAGGGCCTGTGGTCAACGACTTCAACAGCAAGGGGCCTCGAGCTGTCGGAGGCGTCCGTGTAGTTCGAAGCGCCTTGAGCCGCTACCACTGCGGGAGTACCCGCAGTGGTCGCATGAACCCTGGGGTTCGTCGCACCCTTTTTCCGCTTGCGATTGACGGCCTTGAGCCAAAGTCGTTGGCGGCCGCGTGAGGTCTAGAAGACCAAGCCCCTTCTCAAAAAGCACCCTAAAAGCCCTAAAACGTACATTGCAGAAACTGCAATTGCCCTGGCGCGGAGAACGCATGACAGCTGCTGGGCGTGCGACAGCTGCGTCACGCTACCAGAGGTAATCTGAAATGGCTACGCTCAGAGGTCTGGGAGGGCGTAAATCCACGGCAATAACATATATAACCGCTCCAAGTTGCTGGTTCTTGCCAAAATATTGAGACACCTTCCCTTGGTAGCCCATTGAGGTTAACCACTTCGGAGCCATCGCCTTGTTCTTCTGGAGAGCGTCCCAATCTGCATAATAGCCTCACACAGGTTTGTTCGTTCTACCGATCCCAACAAACCGTACGACGCTTCGCCTCGCCACATCTCTACGGTCAAGTGAACGTAGGAAACCTGGCCAAGCACAGTTGCTTTCAATGCACTGGCATGGCAAAGCAGCATTCCTACCAGCGCTGTGGAGGGCCTTAGGTCCTCAAGATTCGGCCCAAAGAACAACATGCCAGCGGTCATCCGACAACGGATTTGAAGGCTTCAAGCACAAAAAATATACGCGTGGGAATGTCAAATTTTCGAGTGGGTATGAACCTTGTAACCCGACAGTTATCAAAGCTATCCTGCGATCCATGCATGAAGGCGCTCGCGGACCTTTTCTCTGATGGGCGCACTTGAGGCAAAAGGCGGTCAGTCGTCACACGCATGATGTACGTAGGACATACTATACATACTGTATGCCTGTGGTTGCACTTCCACATTAATACACCCCATGTATCCTACGCTGTCAGCTTCGAATACACACGATTAAAGTTCAAGGGTAAGTGTACTGCACAATAGGCTTCGAATTGACGCCGCAAGGCCGAAACAGACTCTGTACTACCCAACACTAGCGGAACTAAGCGGACTTTACATGTAAATGCGTGAGTTGACCTATTGGCTGCGCATACGACCTGTAAAGAACGATAATCGAATTTAGCCACGCTCAGAAAACTCTCAGTAGATCTTCGTCATGAGATAGTCCGAGTCTTTGTGACTTGCTCAACTATAAAATGATCATATTGATGGTGTAGATACTCCTATGACTGACAGAGGTTCAGTTCATACTTGGTGAGTTGAACTTGTCTCATCGTCCGGTATCTTCCTCGTAGTCTTCTTCTTCTTCTTCGTAGTGGTTGTCCCAGTATCCATGGTCTCCTCTCATGGCTAGGTTGGTCCACTGTCCATCTCGGAACGTTGCGTCATAAGCATTCACGCTCGCGGCTGGATTGTTCCAACTTCGCTGGGTCCAATTGGTTCGCTGCCAAGTAGGTTGGGAGCCCTTGGAGCTTTTGGAACTCTTACCACCTTTCTTGCCTTTCCCTTCGCCTTTCGGGTCTTGGCGCCCAGCTTCTCCTTGATTTTGGTGGCTTGCAAGCCTCCGATCGCGGAGGCCGTTCAATCTCTGGCGCAACGTTCGGCAGTGGCGGGCTCCTCGTAGTCGAAGTGTTGGAAACATTCGCTCCATAGTCATATTTATCCGTGAGTCTCTTGAGTCCAACATGCTGTTCCAACGTTTGAAGGCTCGTTCATCGGTATGTCGGGTCATCTCCAACAAGACTGCCTGCGCCATAGGTGGAAGCTTGATTTTGGGTTGATCCAATACCAATAGAACCGCTCTATCCCATTTGTTCTTGGGTCTTGCGTACACGACGTCAACTGGGTCAATGCATTTGTGAGACACACCGTCAGTCAAGTCCTCCCTGAAATAGGAATATGAAGTTACGTTGTAGATGGCGTTCACGCATTTTCGAACCATTATGCTTGACTTTGCCCTCTTCTTTTCCTCCACTTGCTCTGGGGCGGCGCCCTGTTGCTTGCAAAGCGAATCTGCCCATGGTGAGCTCTCCGCGGAAACGATGCCATGCCTCACTACAAGTGATCTTGCGCTTCTCTGCGAACGCTCGCATCTGCTCATCTGTGGGATCCACTGGCGTGTCATTGTTGCCCACCCCGTTGAAAGTCCCATAATTGGTGAAGTGGGGCATTACATCAAGTCTTTTCACCTGGAAGAGCTTCTTGAAGTCTGCGATGCCCAACAGGTGATATGACTTGTACGTAGGCGATATCAACTGCGTCACGCACCTTACGAAATATCGGTCCATCAAACCGGATGGGCCTTTCCTGTGTCCTGACATCCTGATTCTTCTTGCAAGTCAGAAGGAACTGGTTCTGGAAATCTGCACCACTTAGGCAACTCGGCGTTGGGCAAGCCGACGTCGGGATCAAAAGATCTTGGTTCATCTGGATCATGTTCTTCATTGTCAGCTCGTCCTCGTCTGAGTTCCTGTTCTGTGGGTTCGACTTCAACGTCCTCGATCACTTTATCATCAGACATTGGACGTTCGACCGTACTCTTGAGAATGGCTTCCATCTCGACAATCTCCTCTTCGATCTCCGGCGTCAATGAGTCCCTATCATAGTCTACCCCATCTTCATCGAACGAAGGGGTGTGGGCTTCAGCTTGCTGGTTATTCTTGTTAGCTGCTGATAGAGCCACGATCTGGTCAATGAATTTCAGGTCGACTCCTTCATCGTCTTCGTCGTCATCTGTGATCTTGGATTGCGGAACATTCTTGACTCCCTTCATAATTTCTTCGTCTATCTTGTCTTTCTGTTCCTTGGCAGGACCCTTGGGTTGCTCCATTTCCACGTCCTTCTCGACCTTGACCTCTCGTCGTCGTCATCATCGATCTCGATAGTAGTAGTCGTGGCTACAGCGTTCCTCACACCGCAACTCATGAACCGGCCATGACAATGAAGACAGATAGTGAAAACATTTGACGCGACGGCGATGTTCATACAAGCAGGACAGAAGATATTACCATCAACAGTACGGAAACCTTCGCAAGTTCGAGCGATGATCTCATTCCATGGCTTCTTCAACTCGTTGAACTCCTTCAAACTGATGATGTCATCTAGCTTCCGAATGTTGTTGTCCTTCCTCGTGCTCCCTGCAACTACTTCCTTGCTTTCTCAATGATTTGATCCTTAGATGCAATTATTCGTCTGGGTGAACTGCGGCAGTGATAAGGTGGTTGGTAACCCCTTTTGCCATCATCCTCTTCCACGTGTTGTCTATTGGATCTAGTTGATACCATGCTCCTCTGACGTGATCCCACGTGAGCTCTTTGAACATGACGACGTAGGAACTCTCAGCGAGTCGTGCGCCGAGGCTCTTCAGAACAGCAATAGGTACGTACAAGACAACTGGGAAATCATTGGTGGGAATTCTCGATCTCAAGATCTCTCGCGACCGGTCGTCCCATGGTGCATGGTGATTAAAGAAAGAACTTCCTCTGATCCCTTCTGTTCCTCCAGGAAGGATACCGAGCTTCATGATTGATGAGATTCTGCCAATGGATGTCACGCGAAAGCTTCCTTAGGGTCAGTGATGTCGCGCGACGTGAGATGTGGGTAAAGAGTGACATCACTTTCGCTTGTTGCGGTATGGCGAGATGAAAGGTTGTGAGCAGACACTGCCCTTATTGCCACTGGAAACAACCATCTGTCGTGATCTCTATAGTATTCCACGCTGTTCGTGACACTGAAGTTTCTCTCCCAATAATCTCTTTGCTCTTCTTTCATAACATCACCAGGAGAAATGCGGACGGCGGCGATTTGGAATCTGGCGCGATTCTAGAGCTTCCTCAAATAGCGCATGGCCTGACAGCAATGGTAGTACGCCATCAACATGTCTGTCAGATATCCTCCCCTGATCCCTTTGATCTTTTGCTGGAAGACGACGGCGCCGCTCCTGCTGCGCTGGATTCCCCACTTCTCGCTGCCACATCGGAGTCACCGTTGCCCACAAGGGCTACATAGCTAGCGCAGATGAGGTAGACGGGCGGCGCCCCCTTATTCACCCAACGATGGCATAGATCTTCAGCTTCGTCTGGACTCATTGGTGCTCGGAAAGGCGGTGGTATAAATGTATTGTAAGCTGGCTGCTCTTTCTGTTGCATCCGATCCAGTTCTGCGATCAGCTCTTTTAACTTTTGGGCATAGACAAGGTTCTTCTTCACTACTCCATAGGCAGGTGACAAGCAAAGACCCTTCCTCATAGTCTGCGCCATTGCGTTCCAATTTTCGACTTCACGTGGATCTTTGAAGAATAGCTCAACGGCAAGAAAGTCCGGTAGACCATCCGCCTGTGCTGAGTGAAAATCAAAGAATGCTTCTCGATGAACTTCCGGACCACGTGAGAATCGTAATGGCAGTCCCGGTCGGAGTCAAAATTGCTAAACACTGAGTTGTTTCCTCAGCTCTGTGTTCAATGCTTCTTGTTCTTGAGCTTCTTCATATTCCTCAGTGTAGCTTTCCAAAGCTTCTTCATACCGCTCGTACATCTCGTCTCGGCTACCTCTCAATCGGCGAGCCTCATCTTCATAATATTTGACATCGTTTCTCAGGCGTGGGCCCTCCTCTTCGTTCGGCCGATAGGTTGGTAACCCTCGTCCATCGCAATTGCTCTCCTGATCACGTTCTGTGTACGCTTGGCCATGACGAAGTTTTGCTTTCATCTGCGCATTCTCTGACTTTGTTTGCCACAATTCTCTCTCAGTTTCTTTTGATTCTTGCTCCTTCACGACCGTCAAAGGCGGGAGTTCTCAAGAGACTCTCTCTCTCTCTCTCTCCCTCTTCAACACCTTGTTGGCCTCAGTGAGAGCAAGATTCGCAACTTTCAATTGTTGTTGTTCTTCTTTAGCTTGTCAGTGGGCGCCACTTGTCGCTTCTTTTAGCGCGCTCAAGGCTTCAGCCATTACTCTCGCTTCACATTGATATTGTTTTGCTCTCATCTCCTTTTCGGTGATCTCCAACTTGTATCCACGCGCATCGGTCTTCTGGTCGAAGTCACGTGCGTTCATCTCTGCAGCAGCGCTAAACTCCGATCCTTTAATCAGTGCCAGCTTTCCGCGGAGAGGTTCTACCATCCTTCCTTCCTGATACTGATGACCAGTAGTCTCAGTTATCTCATTGACCAACTGTCGTTGATGCATTTCACTATCCCATTGCTCTCTCTTTCTCTCTGAGCTACTTAACATGTTGCTGTTCTCATCTTGAACTTGATTTGCAACATTGATGGCTGCTTCGTTCTCTTCTCTCAAGCTTTGGGCGCGTCTTTTGGAAGCATCAGTGTTCTGATTCTGCTCCTGGGTATGTTGAAAAGCACTCTGCATTTTGTCGGTCATACCTCTCATCTTGGATCTCACCTCATCGAGCTGCGAATGTTCTTCATGGCTTTCTCGAGCAAGCTCTTCATACTTTGAGTAAATGTGATCTGCCATTGACTCAGCGAGACGAAGCTTTCGTTCAAGGTTGCTCCTTCATCTTCTTGCATCATCTCCTGTAGGTGATAGCGCATGGCCTTGTTGCACCTTGTCAGTTGAGAAAGTTCTTCGTGCGTTTCAGAATAGATACTCGTGTATCCAGCATGTAGGCAACTGTACTCATCGTGCAAGTACTGATACGAAACTCTGGCTGATAGTAATTCTTCATTGAATAGGATCTCTCTTTCGTCTATGCCTTTTGCATCTTCGATCTCAACTCTCTCAATACTCCTCTTCGGTGATTTTGCAGTATTCGTCCTTGGAGATGTTGATCTCGTAAATCTTCTCAGTGCTCTCTTCGCGTTAACTGTTCTTGCATCGGATCCGGCAGCGATCAACTCCGGTGGAGCGACCTTGCCTTCACCTGAAACTTGTGATCCTGTTGGCATAGTCATTACTGTAGCGTCTGCTGAACTCGCCCCGGTCAGTGACCCTGGCGATGATTGAGACATAGGTCCTCCAGGGGCAGCGAAGATCAGCGAAGGAAAACTGTTCACTGCTTTTCCCTCCGGAACTAGGCATTGCAGGTCAGTTGTCGACAGTCTTCTCTTTCGGTCTCTTCAAGCTCGTAACCTCAGAGCGGCTACGGCTGGTAACCTAAGAGTGGATATTAACCTTGTAACCCGACAGTTATCAAAGCTATCCTGCGCTCCACGCAAAGCAAAGGCACTCGCGGACCTTTTCTCTGATGGGCGCACTTGAGCCGAAAGGCGATCAGTCGTCACACGCATGATGTACGTAGGACATACTATACATACTGTATGCCTGTGGTTGCACTTCCATTGACAAAATTTGTCTGCAGAGCATCAGCCCTCTTCCGCTCACAAAGCAACCGCAAAGCTTTCAGAGTGTCCATGGAGCGGATCAGGCTCAGGCATTAGTCTACCCTGCGGATCAGACCACTGGAACATCAAGCAAAATCAAGTGTGTTTACAAAGATTTCTTGCATGTTCGCTCCCTACCCTACTGCGATTGTGAAAGGGTCTTTATGCTCTGTTGAGTCTGTTAGGTTAGGTGAAGTGGCTAGGAGCAAACGTTCGCAAGCCAGTGGTCAAGGGCAAATAAATAGTCTTTTTGTTGCGCGAGGCGAATGTGTTGGTGCCATCCTAATGCACTTAATGCACGCTGAGCTGACAAAAGGAAGAAAAGGCCATCTACGAGTTTAAAGTGCTCTTGTTGGAACCTGGCAATTCGGCAATTCTCGAAGAATCTCTGTCTGTGTGTCGACTCACCCAGCCGACTCTCCCGTGCGTCACGCGGTCGCCCGACCTGCGTTTCGCAGCCGGGGTCATCATCGTTGGTTGGTCGAGAACAGCCGGCGATGGCGCGATAGCCATGGACCGTCCCGCCCCCAGGACCTTTCAGCTCTGTGTTGTAGCCCAGCATCTCCTCCGAACAAGCATCGTGATCGCAGCGGCAGACCTATATACTTGAAACCCATTTTGACTTGAGAAACGCGGTTGCAAGAAGTAGCGCGGAGCGAACCAGGTGTTAATATGATCTGCAAACATGCAAGGCCAAGGGCCAATGCCTGCAATCATCGGTCTGCACTGGGCCCTCTGGTGAAATAGATTTGGGGTCGTTGGTGAAAATCGTCATCTTTGCCGAAAGCATCGGTGAAAACGAGATTGCCCACAAGACACTAGACGCCAGCGTTCTTGTGGCGCAACTTCTATTCAAGGTTGTTCTCAAAAGAGGACAAAAGGGCTAGTCTCAGGTGCTAAATACGATTTTTCAGGAAAAATAGATAGATAGATAGACAGACAGACAGACAGACAGACAGAGAGATAGATAGATAGATAGTAGATTAGTTTTTTCAGTTTCAGTCGCTCTCATGTCGTCATGAGACAGCGGGGCGCGGGAGCAGGTGTCCCATTTCCAAGCCTTACTGCAATGAGCCAACCTGCGATGTCCTCTTTCGGAAAAGGCCATTGGATGTCTTCACTAAATCTGTGGCCAATGGATTCTCTCTGATCGTGTGCGGTCTCAGCCTTCCCAGCATGAGGTTCCAGACTGCCGAGGTCGAGAG